AACCTTGCTCGACGCGACTTCTGGCGCGGAGGACAGGAAGGCGGGTGGGGAGGTGGTTATTGTTTGAAGGGAGAGTCCCCCTCCCTACAGGAAGCCACGACCACGAGTCACAGCAGGGAAAATGGCCGCGGGTCATGTTCGTCACCTGATGTGGAGTTCGCGAACGGAAGCAAAATTTTGCGAACAGTGCTGTTTGTGACCCGAATTGTTCGTGAACAGAAGCGTTCGTGAACCGAGGTATTACTGTATTAAATTACTGTATTTAGAGGTTGCTTCTCTGCATTTCAATTTGCCTTAGCAAAGAGGACTTCTGAGCAATTTAAATGAATGTGTTGTTTGTGGTATAGTTTTCCAGCCCTTCAGTTTTAATGATCTGTTACATCAGTATTTCTGAATCTTGGCCACTTGAAGATGTGTGGACTTCAACTCCCAGAATTCCCCAGCCAGCATTGAAGTCCACACATCTTCAAGTGGCCAAGGTTCAGAAACACCATGTTGCATTGTTAACACATAATAGCATATAGTTGGAAGGGGCTATTCCCTGATCATCCCCGCAGCTGTTCTTCGAACCTTGTTCACTTTATCCGAATTGTTCTTAAAACACGATGTCCAGAACAAAACAAAATATCAGAGTGATCAAACGCTCCTATATTTTTCTATTAATTGAATGAAGAAGAAAATCCCAAAGCTTTCAAATAGTATCAAAGCACATCAAAGGAGAGAGGAGTGTCTGCAGTTGGGGCCAAAACAGTCAAAATGGCATCTGCAACCACATGATCAACACCCTGCCCCCCCTTTTTTTTGGTGATGGCAGGACTTCAATCATGTGATCATAGACCCCCCCCCCCAAAAAAGTTCTGGTATACGAGAGAGGTTCAACAGTTAGGTCCAAATCTCCCCTCATCATCTTCAACTGAAGATTATGGAAATCATAATCCAATATATTTAGAAGTCACCAGGATGGGGAAGGCAGGGCTAGAGTTGAGATAATCACTTGACATGAAGATCATTGTATAATTTTGGCACATTCCTGTGTCTGCTCTCTCTTTCTCTCTTTCTCTCTGCCTAACCTATTTTATAGGGTTGCTGCGAAGATCAGGGAAAATGTAGTCTTAAGAGCCTTTAAATCCACCTGAGTTTTTTGGGGAAGAACAAGATATTGAAAAAGGATAGGCAAAGCTTGGTTGAATTTTCAGGTTATTGAATATGGATTACCTGACAGAGATATTACTTGACATTTCCTCAAAAGTCAACCCATGGAGATTTGCTTAACCATGGTTTATTGAATAAGCCCCAGTTGGTTGAGTCCATGCATTGCGTCAAGCCATAGTTTGCCTTGCAATTTGTTGTGCTGGGCCATAAACCATGATTTACAAACTTTAATTATTGCACAAGGCCAGCGTACTGGCCCAAAGCCAGTCAAACCACAGTGCAGCATAACATGTGAACCTGGTCTATCTAAGTTGATCTGCAACATATGTAGATACCAGGTTGGAGAAGGCTGATCTAGGGAAATACTTAGCTGGTTAACAAGCTTATACAGAGGGACAGTCTTCTGAGTCCTAGCATCTTGTAATCTCCTTCATCTCCTTTGTGTTTATTTCCAAGAGGGTAGTAATCTTTTAGACCAGGATTTCTCAACCTCAGCAACTTTAAGATGTGTGGACTTCTTAATGTGTGGACTTCTTTCAGCCTCAGGTTTGATCCAGCACTGTGTGTCTTTATTCAGCATGCTGGCTGGGGAATTCTGGGAGTTGAAGTCCACACATCTTAAAGCTGCTGAGGTTGAGAAACCCTGTTTTAGACCTACGACTGTGCAAGATTGTAGCTTCTTCTTGGGGTACGTTGACATATGTGGAGCTGACTGGATACCTGAACTTGATTTTTACAAGCATCCATTTAGTGATGATGAAATTGTTGGCTCTGGATTTTAGTTTCTAAACCGGAAGGGCTTACATTTGGGTTTGTTCATTTATGGATGCAAATGGATGCATGCCTTCAGGTCTTGGTTTATGTTTTGAAGCGTGGGGGAATGGAAAGCAGATTTCTTCCGGATGACTTAAACCCTGTTTTCGGTGCTGATTTGCAAGAGACGCTGCATGCTTGTGGGAAAGTGGGTCAGTGGAGTTCCTGCTGGGTGAGGAATAATAGCGGATCCAAATTCATTTCCATGTCCGCTTTGCGTTTATGGATATTGAGTAGACTAGGGCAGATCATCCCCACTCACACGAATCCTGACGCCTCTGTTTGAAAGAATAAATAACCTCTATCGTAAGAGTCACTTTTATGTGAGATGGGCGGCTATATAAATATGATAAGTAAATAAACATAGTCTAGGTTGTGTTTCTGGGAGAGTGATCAAAGAAAACATTGAAAGTGCAAATCGTTTGCAAGATGAAATGAGAATATATTTTTATGCTTTTTATTTCTGCTTTTACATTGATAATAGGTATGCCTTCCCAATTATGTGTGCCTGTAGGGTTGCCTTTAGAAATATGACCTATATGAAGATGGAGCAATAGATGGTTTATATGGCTAGATTTAATGATATGTTAAAGAATTGAGCTGGCTCTGTATTAACATTTTATGGATATACTTTCAGTTTCTACAAATGTTGCTCGTTTATTCATTCTATATATTTTTCCTGATTTTATTAGCACTGCTATATTTTTGGTTGTATTTAATCGTATCTTTGGTTGTTATACATATATACATACATAAAAAGAAACATGGCATATATAAGTCTAATGTTCATGTTAAGAGCTGATGCAGTCAAGTGACCCTGGCTTAATTCTTATTGTGATTGAAAATAAATCTGAATGTGGAATGTACCATTTTAGACAGTGGGAGGATGATCTTGAATTTGCCTCTCTGTTTTCTAGAATAAAAATCTCTGCATAGAAATCAAGCATCTCAAGGAGAAGGTTCAATCAGACTCTTCTCCCTGACATCTAGTTTTCTGTGGGCATTCAGTTCCACATTTTACAATCTTAAGTTCATGTTGGTACATTCCGGAATATGACTTCTGTAATTCTTGTCCCGTAATTGTTTTGGTTTTGACCGGGAAGGAAAAAAGAGGGGAAGAGAATGAAGGATCAGCAACGTTTCAAGCCGATACCCGACTGCCTCTTCCATGGAGATGCATTGGGGAATTTTTTTTTCTCTGCAGACCCTGGCTGGATCCAATCCATTTTCAAAACTCAGTATTTCTTTTAGTGGTTTCTCCCACTGATCCGAATTTGGTCTCATTCTGTTACATTTTCAGAGTTATCCTGTGGATTAGCAGGCAGAGAGCTCTCTATAATTTATTTCCAATGTTCCCTGGAATTGGAAAAAGTAAAGAGGATGGGATGAACTTGCAAGCATGGAATTGTAACCCACAGCAAAATGAAACAAGAGATTTGGCCATCCCTTATAGGCGAATAATGTTTAAGGCTACTTCAGTGGTTGGCAACATGATGCTCACCAACCCCAAAACAGTGCCTAATATCCATAATTTTTTTATTTAAAAAGCAGATTTTTCATGTGATGTGGCTGTTCTCGCATAACACCTCTCAAGATCCTGCAAAACTGCCAACTTCTTGCAAATTTTAGTTATTTCACAAGCTCTTAGGGGATGTCCTGGGTTGGTGAACTCCTGTATGTCAACAGGAATTCTTGTCATGGTGCTTATGGTAAGAGAATATTTTGGAGTTTGCAAAGGCATGAATGAGGAATTGTGGAAAGGACAGTCCCCAAAAGTTTACTTATTTTTTTTAAAATGGGAAACTGATTCATTGCAAAGCATCATGATTCCAAGACTACCTTTGGCCCCACTGACATTTTTAGGAAATAAAATGAGTGCCTACAATCTGAAGCTTTGATTCAAAGTGTGCTCTCTTGCCCAGAAAAAGCAACAAAATTAAGCGAGGGGAAAAAGGAGGCCAGTGAAGGTGAATGGGAAGTGATTTCAACAATTGCCTTTGGAGTAAATAGCCGGTGTGTGTCTGGCCATGTCCCCCATTTTGTGAATGTCCTTGACATGCCCATTGACTCAATACTTCCCACTTCTAGGATGGGTGGTGACCCCATAACATGCTGTTGATCAGAGAAAGGCTTTGCTGGCTGAAATGGACCAGGCAGAGAAGGAGAACTCTTGGGATTGGGCTGGAGGTCGATTTAACCCTTCTCTCTCGTCCAGGTGGTGGGACCATGGCACAGCACCGAGGTTACCTCCGGGTGCTGGTTACCTTCTACCTCACCTTCCTCCACCTCACGTTCACCGCCTCTTACAAGCCCGTCATCATTGTCCATGGCCTCTTTGACAGCCCTTCTGACTTCCAGCTCCTGCTTAGTTTCATCAATGAGGTGAGTGGGGGAGCCACATTGATCAGACTGATGAGGGACGATGGGAACTATGTACATCGCTATCATAAATAATGACTTGCACTTTTTTCATCGCCCTTTTTTTTTTTAATCCTGTATTTACCGCCCAGAGTTGCATTTTGTGAAATGGGGAGCTATATGAATGAATCAATGAACCAATGAATCAGTGATATAACCCCAGTGTATATGGAGGGTGTTTAATTGGGGAAGACAGAAAATAATTAGCTGTTTAATCCAGAAGGGGATGTTTTCCAGATACCTCTGAGCCTGCTTTTATTTTGTGTATGTGTGTGTCCCCTTTGGAAATTGTTTTACATTTTCTCTCTCTGTGTTAACCAATGCTTTTATTTCTTCCAATTCTCCAGGATCTTGTGATAATAGAGTTGGTTCCCTGACAGTTGCTCTCTGCAATCCTACGGGTTGAGAGAATGATGTGAGCAGGGTCGGCAACCTTTTCATAACTTTGGTGTTGACAGTGTAGGACATCTCTCTTTAAAAAGAAATCTATAATGGTATGTGGAAATGACCTTGGGAGACAGGAGGAAGAGCTTCAGACTAGACAACTATCAGATAAGAGGCAGCTTAGCCTGCAGCAAGAATGTGGACGTGGCAGATGTCTCAGAAGGGACCCTCCCTAGTTTCTCGGGCTGTAAAGATGAGGGGGGAGAGATGTACTTTCGGGCTTGCAAGATTGATGTCAGCCTGGCGAGGTAATCCAGACATTTATTTATTTAGCGTATGGCGTCTCATACATGGACTTGCATTAAATACTAACATTTAGCCTAAGTTAAAAACACTTTAAAATGTGAATATTAAAAAGATCTAAATTCAAATACCAATGTCTAGGCCATGTAACCATTGAAGCACAGCATCATTTATATAAAAAAAAATCAGATATTGGGCCATTATATGCCCTTGGCTTACAGCGGGTCACAATGTGATCTATGGTTTGACGTGTGGCCCCGCAGTCACACTGAGATGATGATGCCATACCCCATTTATGCAGTGAATCTTGGCAGATGCCATGTAAGGTGTGAATCCTGTTCAAGGTCGTCCATTGCTGGCGAGATAGATCAAAATCTGGCACCTTTTGCATTGGGTCATCCAGACAGAAGCACACCCAGAAGTACTAGCTCTAACTTTATTGTAAGGTTACATTAACAGAATCATGCAAGTCTGAAAATACATCTCTCCCCCCCTCGCCTATACAGTTCAAGAAACTAGGGAAGGTCCTTTCTGAGACGTTTGCCATGCCCCCATTTCTTCTGTGGGCTCCGCTGCCTCTTATCTGACTGTTGCCTAGTCTGTGGCTCTTCCTCCTGTCTCCCAAGGTCATTCTCACACACCATTACAAAATCTTGCAAAATCACAACATTTTGCAAGGTTTTGGTGTCCTTCCTTGAGATCCCACATCAACATGTTACCATGGTGGACAAGAATGATGGGTTTTCCAGAGATTTCAGCCCCTCGCCTGAAGACTCACGCAGGAATGGGAAACCTCTCCCTCCCTCCCTTTTACCTTTGCCATGTTTTAATTTAAGTTCACAATCCATGCGTGCAGGGGCATTTGCAGAGTGTGGATGCGTGGGTCAAAAAAGTTAAGATGGCAGCCATGACCGTGTAATTGATGCCTTGCTGTTTTTTATGTGGGCCACAGGACCAGGGCTTCAATTGCATGATGACAGTTTTCTTCTTTTCTTACCTTCCCTGTAGATGCCCCCTGCACGAATGTCACGTTTCTTAGCCCCGGACCCGATTATCTTCAGGCGGGAAGCTATACAAGGCTTTAAACTTGGGATCCTGGTCCAGCAATCATTCCTGGGTATCCCGTGGGGGGTCTTTCCTTTTCCCCCCTCCTTGATCTGTGCTTTCCTTTCCTTTTCTTCTCCTTTGCTAATCTGGAAGGGAAAACATCCGCGATCACCTTGTCCCAATTAGAACCTGAATTAGGGTGTTATTTATTTTCCTGGGCCTCAGGTGACTCATTCTAGGCACGTTGTAGGCAGAGTATACATAATCCTGCGTGATGCGATAAACAGGCTGATACTGCACAGGGGTTGAGCTGGAAAGTCTGGTTTTTCTGGGCAGGAGAAGATAAGGGGGAAACTGCGAAACTCCCAAAGAGTTGTTTTATGTTTTCTTTTCTTTCGTTCTTAGAAATAATCTCTTGCAACTTTAGGGTGCCAAAAGAGCTCGAGTCAGATTTTGAGCCACTGTTTTCCCTTTAAAAACGAGGACTGTGGCAGTCAAATGCAGAAACTAGTTTCCTGACTATATCCGCTTTTGATTTAAACGCCATCAGGTTTCTAGTCCTTAAGAATTCAGTGTAAAAGTGAAGATGTTGCCTGTAGAAATCTTGGGCCACAGTTGAAAGAAGCTGAACCTCCTCCTGCCCCCTCCTCCCCAGATCTGTGTTTCTACAGTAAATTAACTTATTCTGGCTGCTTTTTCTTTACTCCAATGGTTACTTCTGGTCATGGAGTCCCCACTTCAGGGAGAAAATCAGCTGTTTTAAAAAACAGCTGGAAAAAATTCGGCATTTTTTTCCTCCCACTCACCTGTTACAATCATTTTCTTAGCAGCTGGGAAAGGATGCTTTATCCTTCGAGATATGACTAAAGCAGCATTTCTTAAAATGTAGTCCTAGGACCCTTGGGGGTCCCCCAAGACCCTCCTGGAGGTCTGCAAAATCAAAATGATTTGCCAGCCTATGTTGAAAAATAATACAATATTAAAATCCCATCAAACAATTGTGAAAAACAGTAGCAGCACAAATGCGTCAATTTTCATTTTTAATACAGTCAATATTGATAAATATAACCCATACAAACAAGAGCTCTTTTGGGGTCCTCCATAATTTTTAAAAGTGGGGAGGGGTCCTGAGAGAAAAATGTTTAAGAAACACTGAAGAATCCTTTTTAACATCGCTGTTCTTGCAACATCTGGATGGCTACTGGCTCCCAATTCTTGTTTTAAAGATTTGGGAATGGAACCAATCTTGCCCTTCAGAACCCAACCAACAGTTTTTCTAAAAGATGGAAAGGAAAAGGTTTTTCCTTTTAGAGGAAGAAGTGTTGGGTTACTTGTCCTTTCCACAATGGTGGACAGCCACTTTCTTATGTTTTCATCCCACTCTTTTTCCAAGATTAGTCACCACGCTCCCTCCTCTCCCCCCTTTTTTCCCTTACAACACCCCTGTGAGGTAGTTTAGGTTGAGAGCTGTGTCTGAGTCCGACTGTGAACCAGGATCTTTTGAATCCAAGCCTGACATGATCTCACCACTACATCACGCTGCCTCCATACACAAAAGAGAAAGGGGAAAAACGATTGCCACCAAGAGATTATTTTTTCCCCTATCTTGGTGTGTCATCAAAGCACTTTCTTCAAATGCCAAGGGAAGTCTTCAGAAGGCAAAACAAGTTTAGGAGAGGTGTTCTCTGCACAGGATGATTACAGTGTGTAGTTGTGGTTGTATTGTGTGATTAGACTTGGAGTAGCCCTTGTCAACTGGGGCAAGAATATTTCGGAGAAACTGGATCATCAGATCTTCCCTGTTGGAAATCAGCAATAAGTTAGAAATAAGCAGTAAATCTGGCTTTAGCTTAGGAATTTTTTTTTTTATCCGGAAGGAGAGAGATTGAGTGATGCTCAGGTTTCCTCTGTGTAAATCTCTGACACCTCCCTCACATTTCCTTGCTGTTGAAAATTGTCTCTTGTTACTTATGGATAGAAAAGAGACACTATGTTCCTTGGTAGCCCAGCTGTAAGGATTTTTACAGCATTGTTCCATGTATGACTTCAACCTTCTTCGTAGACGCTCAGTGTAAAGCTTCAGCCTAGATTTCTCCCAGGGTCCAAAGAACGGGAGAAAGGATTGAAAACATCTTGTGCTTTTCGCCCCCACCAAATTCCTACAGACTCACCCGGGAACCAACGTTTCAGTTGTGGATTTGTTCGACCGAACGGAAAGCCTGAAATCTCTGTGGATGCAAGTGGAGGGGTTCAAACGAGCGATTTACCCCATTATGCAGAACGCTGTTGACGGGGTCCACCTTTTCTGCTATTCGCAAGGTAGGGGGGCTCTTTGCACAGTGAAGGGCAGGTCTGGCTCCATGTTGGAATGGGCTATGGACAGAGGCTAATGGGGTCACACCACCTTTCCTTTCCCCACAATAGCCCAGAGCAGTGTTTCTCAACCTTGGCAACTTGAAGATGTGTGGACTTCAACTCCCAGAATTCCCCAGCCAGAAGAAGTCCACACATCTTCAAGTTGCCAGGGTTGAGAAACACTGGTCTAAAGTAACGTTAGCTGAGAGACACTGAGAAATTAAAAGGGGTGGTGAGGTTCTGCCTTATGTTAATCCTCAAATGCCGATCCAGGACAAACGTCATCATACTAGCCTGTGTTGAGGTAGTCTGTTGCACATACAGATGTTTTTAATATTTGGCTCAAAAATAGAGGTAGGAGATTATCTGGAATGATGGGACCTTCAAGATCCTGGGAACATGGGTGATTTCCTTGGCAGTTCTTCCTCCAATTCTTCATATAACAGTTGTGTTTTATGTACTGACGATACTGACGAGGCAGAGGAACCGGGGGCCCAGCATCACAAAAACACTGGCCAAAACAGTTTACCTAATGCACTAGGCCAGGTTAAAATGGGGTTGGATGGTGTATGGTTCAGGATATAGTGAGAATCCAGCTGTTATCTTAGCATGTCGTATGAACAAGATGATGATGTTAAGCCACAACATGGTTTCTTTGCTCTGGTGTGACAGGCTACATGAATGTAGCAACTGCATTTTTTCAAAAAACGGGTTGGGATTAACCAACCTAGCCTGTTTTCCTCTGCTTGTGTGGAATTTAGAGAGGGTTTTGGTTCAGGTCTTCGTGGCCCTGCACTGACCCAGAAATTGCCTCTTACATCTCTAAATCCCCAGGATGTACTGAAGGCTTTGATGAAATGGGAATGACTTGGTAGAAGGGCAATCACCAGGACTGTAGATTATTCCTAGCCAGGCATTTGTCTTCCTAATCCAGTGTCATCTCCTGCAGCTTTCCCCAACCCAGTGTCCTCCAGATTTTCAGGCCTGTAGCTCACATTACTAATACTGCAATGAGTACCAAACCTGAAATTGCTTGTGTTGGCCTTTCAGTGGCTTTTTCATAATCTGTGGCCTATTTCAACAGTTGTGTGGTTCCTCAGTTTAGACCAGGGAAGAGCTATGCTTTCTGTATGTGGCTGAACTACAACTTCTGGCAGTTTCTGTCAGCACAACCAAGGATGGTGCAGGATGCTGGGAGTTGTACTTACACATCGTTGCAGGATCCACTGCCTTAGAGAAATCTGTGCCCTTTGGCCCTTCACAGATTAAGACGGCTGGTCTTTTGTGTCCAAGTTTTTAAAAAACTCTGAAGTTGGCCTTGCAAGTTTCCCTTAGTTGTCATTACCAAGAGAGTAGCTTGTCTCCCTAAGTTGACCAAAGAGACCAGCGCACCTGTCTTGTTTGCACTTTTATTTGCATTTATTCCTCCCTTTTCTCTGAGAGCTTGAGGGGAGGTATCCCTTAATTTTATCTCTACAACAGCAGGTGTGAGGTGAGTTGGTCTAAGAGAGAGAAGAGAATGGTCCAAGGTTATCCAGGAAGCCCCATATTCATATGGAGACTTGACCCTGCAGTCCCCCCAGTCTAACACCATAGTCACTACGCTAGCTATATAGAGATTTTCATGGTAGTTCTCTTAACCTTTTATTGCAAAGCCAGTCAAGGGTCTTTTGTGGAACTCATACCTCGTCTGATGTTGGGTGCACATTCAAAGGTTTCTTCTCTCCAAGTTCTAGTCCATTCGGTGAATGAGGTAGACCGAGATCCATGAAAATTCCTGCGATAAATTTGCCACAAAGCTCATTTTCTTAGTCTAGAGAGAGATGGCTAGGTTTGCGTGGCATTGTTTAAGTTGAACAACAACATGTTGATTGCATTGCCTACGCTAAACTGTAAATGGAGCTGCCATAATAATAGTTCTTGGGGACTTCAAACACTTCCTTTTACTTCACCTTATCATCTTTTCAATATTGGTTTGCATTGGAGGCCTAAAGCAAAGGGGTGGTGGCTTTCATAACATCCTGGCTTGCAACTCAGGGCCTAGCTGAACATACATACAAAAGAGAGAAGGTTGGGTTGTATGGGCACCTCCCTCAAGGTCTTTGATCTGGGAGTTGAAGTCCACACACCTTAAAGATGCTGAGGTTGAGAAACATTGGCCTAAAGCAAGGTTAGCTCAGGGACACAGTGGGAAATTAAGAGAGGTGGTGAGGTTCTGCCTTCTGTTGCACATACAGATGTTTTTAATGTTTGTCATAATCTTTGATGCTATTTGTCATAATCTAGTTGGGAAAGTCACAAAGCCATAGCTGTTTCCAAATTTGAGGGGAAATCTTGCTGGTTAGTGGATTTTCACTAATCAGTGGATTTTTGGTGTTATTCACATAGGAATGTATTCCTTACAGATGAGGTGAAAATTCTCAATATTGCGTTGACATTTATTTATGAGTTTGGATGAGAAATTAGGTATACTCATCATTACTCCAAAGGCTTCATCTGTAAATCTTCTACATATTGCGAGTAGTTGGTGTTTTTATGGAAGGCCCAAAAGTCAGTGAAGAGTTGACTATTTTTTATTTGGGTGAAGATTCAGAGTCAAACATTGCTGTGATGTAGACGCTACGTAGACTCGGATTATGGTGAAGAAGAAGGGAGCTGTTACTTCTTTTCCAAAACATGACTCCTCTTACTCTGTCCTGCAGGAGGACTTATTTGTCGAGCGCTGCTCTCTATCATGCCTGACCACAATGTGGACACGTTCATCTCTCTCTCCGCCCCACAAATGGGACAATACGGGGGTAAGTCATGAGGCAGGGACACTCTGGTGCCATTTGGTGGGACTTTGGGATACAAGTCCAGAGTCTTCCTTAGCAGAATGAGCAGGAGAGCCCATAGCAATGTTGAGTTGCTCTTCCATTGGAGCAGGCCATTGTTGGGCTGGGGGTGCAATTTATTTCTTTACTTTTTTGTCCTCTGGAGGCCACAGAGTGAGTGGCAGTGACAGAAAATGTTGGGCCATTTTCCTTCTTGTGGGGAGTGGGAGAGCAGTATGGGTTATGCTCTGGGGAAGTTCACCTTAGCTCTTTTCAGCATTTTTGTAATAAAAATACAGAAATCTTACATACACATTTTTGTATTTTGCCATCAAAACATAGTGGTATCATCTGAGAGGCCTCCGGAGGCCATAAAATGGGTCAAGGGGGCACAAGATGTCTTCTTCGGCCTTAGGTAAATTAAAATGCAGCCACTGCTTCTATTTTTATGTATTTATTTTTATTGTGTCACTTATAATTATTTATTTTATTATTATTGTATTTATTATTAATTATATTATTATAATTATTTCTTATTTTATTTTTGCCCTGCTCAGCATATACTATTTCATTTTCAGTGTCTTATCCCCTGTCTTATTCAGTTTGCCGTTCATATCTCACCAATCTACACGTTTCTTTTTTGCATTTATTTATGTTTATATTTATACATGTACTTATATTTATCTGTGCATTGCTAAGGTGGAAATGTCTGGAATTCTGACATCCCAACCCCCCAACTTTCCCAACAGAGCCTTCCGAACAGGGATGTCAACTCTCAAATTGTTAGCCAAGATGCCTCTTGCTTAATAACTCTGAGAGTTGAGCCCAGGTTAGGGATTGCTATCCCAGTTAGTTGCTTTGTGTGCCTCAGTCTTCCCAAAGGCATAATGGCTGGGGATTATGGGAGATTTGGACCACCATGTCTGGAAGTATCAGGTTTACAAAAGGATAGAAGATGGGAAGATCCTGAATTTACAACAGTTGTGGGGAAAACCAAGCCACTATATCAGTGTCTCTGCTCATTGGCTTCCTCTACCTTTCTTTTTCAATTCAGACACCAAGTATTTGAAATGGCTTTTTCCACAGTACATGAAGTCCAACCTATACCGCGTCTGCTACACCCAGTTGGGTCAGGATGTCTCCATCTGTAACTACTGGAATGGTAGGCCTGCTTTATGACCGCAGTCAATTATTCTGCATTGCATGTGAGGCTCTTGAGGGTTTAAACGTTTTTCACCTCTATTGCTGGATTCACACATTGTGTGAAGCCATGGTTTGTTTTAAACATGGTTTGCTGAAATTCCAGTAGCTCGGCTAATAAACACCACTAAGCCATAACCAAACAAACTGCATTGTGGTTTACTGCAATGGGAGAACCCATCTATTGGCCTGGTTCATACTATGTCTTAAATCAGGTTTGTCAGCCAAATGTAATTGAGTTGGGTGAAAGTTGTATAAACTTTAAAATTATGAATTTACACTATAGGCTAAGCTAAAACTAAATAACAATGTCTTAATGCAATGTTTGATTTGGCCTTTGCCTCAACATAATTCCTTGTTATCCAATATTATCCACGTTTTCTGTCTCCAGTGTGCGGGCTGTATCTGGCATTGCTTACGCAGCCAAAACAGCATTATCCATGCCAAATATTTTAAATTAGCATTGTTTAAAAAAGTTGTTCATTTCTAGCATTAAAAATGGGTTCAGATCTACTTTCATATCTAAAATCTAGTAGGAAAGGGAGATTTGTAGGGTATTGAAGGTGATTTAGGCTGGGTTCGTACATTACCCTAAACCTTGAGGTTTATTTAGTAAGCCACGGTTAAATAAGCTACTGTAGGACTTAGTAGGATATGGGGACCCAGTCTTAATGTCTTAAAATATAGGAATGGGTTAGAGCAGTGTTTCTCAACAGCAGCAACTCTAAGACATGTGGACTTCAACTCCCAGAATTCCCCAGCCAGCATCTGGGAGTTGAAGTCTACACGTCTTAAAGTTGCTGTGGTTGAGAAACACTGGGTTAGAGCTAGATTCCTGGTGGGAAAGGTAGATTAAGGAAGGTGAGAGAGGAGGTATCCTGTTGAGTGCAGAAACAAAACAAGGTGGCTCTCAACTTTTCTCTCCCCGCCCCATGTCTTTTGCATTTTCAGACCCACACCATCGAGATCTTTATCTCAACAACAGCAACTTCCTGGCCGTGCTGAACGATGAGAGACTTCATCCCAACGCAACCGGTAAGCGTGCTTTGACATTCTTCAACGCCACTACAGAGGGGAGAGTGGTAGAGTAGCAAGGACCGCACCTTCCTGCTTTGGGGTTAACTCATCCTATTATCTTAGTTGCCTTCATACTCGGATGACCAACCCGGAATTTGCCCCCAAACCCATGTTTGTCCTTCGCGGGGCTGAAAACTGCAGCTGAAGCCATGCTGAAACCAACCGTCCAGCTTGGATGTGAAAACATGGCACTTCCAAGGTTGCTGAACTACCACTCCCACAAGGCCTTGCTAGTATGACTTAGGATGAGGGATGCTGGGAGTTTTAGTTCATCAATGTCTGGAAGGTTGCAGGCTCTCCATTTCTGAGTTAGGGCCCGAGGCAGGATAGTCCAGGAAGCGTTAATTGGGTTTCTGCACCAGGAAGACGTGGACTCAGTGCCCCAAATAGCTCCATCCAGCTTTATGGTTCTCCGTCCAAACCCCCAGAGCAAACCAAATCTCCAGTGCGTTCCTGCCAAAAGGGATTTTTTTTTAAGAGCCTGGCCAGACTCTGACTTACAGATAGAGCTGACTCTGTGCCTCCAGCAGTCGTTGAGAAGCAGGAGTATGCAAGTGAAACATTTCCTAATATGGAGAGTGAAACATGACTGGAAGATCTTTGCTCGATCTTTTTTCCCCTGTGACAGGCTGCTGGAGCCTTTCACGGAGGCCTGGCCAAGCCAGATCAGCTGGGGGATTTAAGTTCAAGCTTGTCAAAACTCTTCCTGCCCTTTCAGGACGTAACTCATGAAATGCCATTCAGAATCCCTGCTTTAGGTAGCACGAGATAGCTTTTGTTGACTAATTTTATAGTTTTTTAGACTCTTTATCATTGCTGTTAACTGTCTAAACCAGCGTTTTCTAATCTCAGCAACTTTAAAATATGTAGACTTCGACTCCCAGAATTCCCTAGCCAGGATTTCAACTCCTAGAATTCCTCAGTGGCTGGGGAATTCTAGGAATCTTAAAGTTGGCCACGGTCGGGAAACCCTGGTCTAAACGATACATAAACACATAAAAACCATTGCCAGATCACAAATGTTAAAATAAAAATTAAGGAACAAAGCAAGGGAAAAAGGAGATAATTAAGTGTATCAGACACGATAACATTACTAGACATTTCCTGGAGGCTGCGTTGTTATTTTGTCTGTCTGCAAATAGGGTAGGAAACCTATTTTTGGCTGGACCTTCCTCTCTGCCTGGGGTCAGTGAAATTCGGATGTCACTGGAATAGGTGGAGGTGAAACACACAGGCCCGTGTTTTAGCCATTTTAAAGAAAAAATAGGGGCCTTCTCCACTGAAGTCTCCCCCAAACAGATGTCCTGCCTAATTTTTAGGAGGACTCATGTCTTTTGTGGGTGTCCTCAAATCTCTGCAAAACTGACGGCAGATATTCTGTCACTTAGAAGAATAAGCCAAACACTTCAGCCCTCTCCATTCTGGGGGCTGCCAACGGCTCACAGTTTCCCCACTCCTGGCCTTAGAAGACTCCTCCCCTCCCTGATGGTTTCCAGAAGTGTGGGGACTACGACCCCCAGAATGCTGAGCCTTTGGGAAAGTGCAATCCCAACCCCACCCCGAGAGTGCCAAATTGGAGAAGATGTAATAAGTCGCACTTGCTTTATTGCTGATGCCTCCTGCAAAAGCAGGGCCCAGAGGAAAGGTCCCTAGGTCTCTTAGCTTCTGCAAAGAATGGAGTGGGGAAAGGTCTTTTCCATTGATTGCTGAGGAGGCAAAGGGGGAGAAGGGAAAGAGGAGAAAATGGGAAGGTGACCCAACTTCTGGAGTTCTGCTCCTCTCTTCTTGCAGCATGGAAGAGAAACCTTTTGCGCATTCGCAAGCTCATTCTGATCGGCGGCCCAGACGACGGGGTCATCATGCCCTGGGAATCCAGGTGAGCTTTTGGGCGTGGATAGAAAGAGGTTGAGTTTGGGAGCGAGGGAACCCAAGGGCTGATCTCCCCATAAAGCTTTTTTGCAAGGAGAAGCTGTTCAGTACCGCTAGAACCCCGGGGATATTGGAATCAGGACAGGCTTGAGTTGCTTGACTTGGTTCCCTGATGACCGTTCGGAGGCAGAGAGAGCCAGCAGGGCCCGGTCTGGCTGAATCGAAACATGCTCTCCAGCACCCGGCATGTGGGAAGGGACAAATGCACCCCCTGCCTCCTCCACCCACTCCTGTTTTGATTTTCTGCAGCCGCCTGCAAAATTCCCCTGCTCGTAGTGTAAGACAGTGGCGTAAAAGCGAAGAGGCAGACTTCGTGCTGGTGGTGCAGCCGAAGCCTCTTTTTTGTCTTTATTTAGTAAATTTATAGCCCGCCCATCTCATGCATGGCTCTGGGTGGCTCACAATTAAAATAAAATCAGTAAAAGCAACAAAAATAAGATAAAAATAGCAGCCGAGAGGATTCACACTCAAACAAGCCATGATGCGGGCTTTCCCAGGATATCAGGGCCCCAGGCTTGATGGCAAAGACAGGTTTTTAATGCCCTGCAAAAGGCCAGGGTCAGGGTGAATCTTATTTCTGGGGGGAAGATGTTCCAGAGGGCAGGCCCCAGGGCAGAAAAGGCTCTCCCCCTGGGTCCTGACAGATGACCCTCTCTCGCAGATGGCATCCGGAGCATGCCTCTCCTGCCAGATCTTACAGGGCAGGTAAACACCACTGGGGAGAGACAGTCCTGTAATTAATTGTCCTCCCTTACTCCAAGATAGAGAAGCTATTTCAGCAGACCGTTAAAGAAATGGACATAAGAACCTAAGCTGGGCCCTGCTGGATCAGATCCCTGGCCTGTCTAGACCAGCAGTCTGTTCTCCCAGTGCCCAAGGAAGCCCATGAATCTCCCAGCAGATGGCCTTCAGAGGCAGCCCCACGGCCATCTGGGCTCATCGCCCTTGATCCCCAGGACTTCGGTGAATTGGTTCACCCCTTTTCTGAAGCCAGCCAAGCTGGTAGCCAGCACCACGTCTTAGGCTTTTAGGTTCAGCCTCTCTCAGTTGACGATTGGTTCTACCCAGATAAAACGGCGTGTCTTTCACACACACGGCACAAGGACAAGCAAGCTTTCTGCAGTAGAGGGACGCCTTTTTATTTTTCAGAATTATTCGGCCTTGGGATCTATGGCAGTAGCGTACCGATCTCCCCAGAGGGGCAGGGCCCAGAAGATTTTGCAGTGCACGCGCGTGTGTGTCTGTTTTTGAAATAAAAATTGTGCTGCCCCAAATTGAGGATGCATTGTTGAATTTTGAAAAGGGGCTGTAGGCTGTTCAGCTTGGCATTAAGGTACCTATGCTGACTGTTGGCCATTGGCAGAAAAGAGCTTTATGCTTCTTTGTCAACTAAAGCTTGCTGGGATGTGAGAACTAGAGGACTAGTAGAACTTAACATCTACTAGTTACCATACTAGAGCACTTCCAAAAATTTGGAGCTGCTTTCTCCAAACGCCAGTTGTTAAGGAATATGATCTGGGAAGGCTGCTGTCAGTAACAGCTCCTTTAGGCTTGTGAATCAGAGCAAAAGTGTCCCTTTTATGGACCTGTGGCAGCGTGAAGATCTTAGTGGTGGAGCTTATAGGCTGTGAAATAAGATGGCTACGACACCGATCGTGATGGATAGACATCAAGGAAATATACATGTACTATTTAACACAGTATCAACTGTCTTTGCTGCTTTTTTTCAACCATGTATGTCCAGTTTATAATCATGCAGTTCGTTTTCCCTATTAAACACGATTACCTTGGTCTTCAGTACATTTATTTTTAGATTCATACTTTTCAATGCATCGTATGATCTAACATTCGCTGCAAATTATTTGGGTCTTCAGCCAACAACACTTCTGCTTACAAATGTGTGTAAACTTTCACATCCTTGAGAACCCTTCTAACGTCACTACAAGCATTCCTTATACCTTTATCCCAAATGCACTAAACAACCAAGGAGACATCTCACACCCGTGTCTTATTCCCTGCAAGGAGTCGCCCCGTTTCTTAGCGATATTATTACCTACCCTCTTAGTGCATTCAGCCACCAATCTTCACACTCTGCATTTGTGCAAAACACTCCATAACTGAAGCCGATTCACTATAATATGCTTTCTCTAAGTCAAGAAACAAGCAGCAAACTTTCTCACAGTCATGCATCTCTCGGCGAGCTGCTGCAGAGCAGAAATCAGTCTCTGCCCCCACTCCCCTGCCCTGCCTAAAGTTGCACTATGCTTCCCAAATTTTCTCATTGTCACGTCTTGTAGGCTTTCAACCAGAATTTTGTCAAGGACCTTAACAAACTCATTCTCTTGCAGTTTTGAATTCACGCTTGCTTGCTTTCTCCTTTCACAAACATATTTAAGAAGTTGCACAGCCATTACAGGTGCAAATGACATTTGTGTTTTATACCACCCCCACCAGCAGTTTTACTATTTTTGACATTCTCACAGGATTTGTGATTTTCTTTCCATCATTCTTTTGTTGGTGATAACATTTATAGTGGTTGTTTCAGTTTCCCTGTTCAACATCACCGTTGTACACTAGCATCATCTCCTGTGCAAATGTTTAAAGTTTTCTTCCCAACTTTCCCTGGCTTTAGATTCATCCCAAATCCTTTCATCCCTTTTCTTTTTAAATCCATCCCCTCTTCCCCTGGAGCCAGTGTTTTAGCCCTCTTCATCCATTTCCAGAACAACTTTTTATTTCTGATTCTCTGCACTTTCTCTATTTCTTCATCTTCACCATCCTTTGTTTTCTTTAACTTAATTTTTTCACTCTGTACACCTACAATATCGGTGCCTCTTGTAGGGAAGTGAACTTTATCACAGTCTTTGACCGGCGTATGTCCACGTGTGGATATAAACATAAAATTCTACATAGTTCATAAAAATAACAAAAAGGAATTAAAATAGTTAAAAAGAAAAGGTGGGGGGCTCTTGTAGGTTTAGGAGATGGATTGTATAATTCTACATGGATTGTTCTGTTTTGTTCCTTTTGTAGTATGTTTGCCTTCTACGATGATAATGAGATGGTGATGGACATGACGTCTCAGCCGGTGAGTAAGGACAGACTGACAATGTGAGGTGAAAATAGATGGCAGGAAGGATATATTTTGGTTAATTGCAGGAGTTCCTCTACTTTTTGCCATCACATCTCCCTTTAGTGTTATCTTGATGTACACACCTCCCCTAAAAATCCAAATATCAAAATGAACACAAACGAACAATGAAAACAATACAGTGAAACTTTGGGAAAGGTGGGTTTAGTGTAACAAGGTACAACTAAAAGGTTCTTTCCCTCAGAGTTTGGGGAAGGAGGCAGAAAATAAGATCCAACTCACTGGGTATCATTGGATCTAAACAGAAATGACTCAACAGCTCAAGGAAAATTAAACGTAACCCCAAATCACCATCCCCTTTTCATAATAACCAACTATAAATATTGTATAAACAAGTGGAAAGTCTGTCTTTCTGTATTCTTCTCTTCCTTCATCACAAGGTTCTCTTTCTCCACTGATTCTAAACAAAATGCTCTCTGATTTATATTGCTTCATTTTTCTATTATTATTATTACTGCTATGTCTGTACCTTAGTTGCTCATTAGATTTATAGTTCACCTTTCTTCCAATTGCTCAAGGCAGCATACAAATCTTTCCCACCCCCTACGCCTGTTTTTCCCAACAACCACCCAGTTGCCTGGCCCTGAGTCACGGAGGGAGCGGTCATAGCAGAAGGGAGAGTGGATCCTGGGTCTCCAGAACCTAGTCCAGAAAATCACAAATGTTCCCACAATGAGAAACAAAGGCTCTATAATGGTTTAAAAACTATCAACCCCCTTAAATGTTAAAGTCACAATAAAAGATTAAAACCCAAAAGATCAGTGTAAAGCAGTGTTTCTCAACCTTGGTGACTTGAAGATGGGTGGACGTCAACTCCCAGCATGCTGGCTAGGGAATTCTGGGAGTAGGTCCACCCATCTTCAAGTCGCCAAGGTTGAGAAAAAAAAAACTGGATGTAAAGAGACACATCTTAACTTTTCTAAAAACGAAGAACAAGGGCACCATTCTTAGTTTTGAAGGGCCATGCTGCGTAATTTGGGTATGACAACCCCTTTCATGCCTGCCCCATAAGCAAGTGTCGGAGAGAAGAGATGTCCTCTATGGGGGCTCTCCTGCAGATCTTAACAATTCTCATGCCAGTTAGCCCTTCAAATAGGGACCCACTGAAACCAGCTTGTTCTAAGTAACACCTCTGCCTTAAAAACTCACAGAAATTACAAGCATTTTCCAATTAGTCTGTATAATGGACATAACAATAGAGATTGACTGATTGCCGTCCAAAACCAATCAGTAGGGATGAATGGGGAATCAAGCCACGTGAATCCTTCACATTTGCAGCTGTTCGAGGTAGACCAGACTTGAACACCAAAGTTATGAATACTAAAACTACTTTTATTATACAGTTACAGTAATAGAGTCTTGCAACTCTGAACATGCCTCCCCCCTCCCTGCCTTTTTCCTGAAGAGAAGTGGGGAGAGTCCAGTCCGAGACGTTTTCTCAAATTACATTTCTGCTTTGGGCTCAGATTTCTCTTATCTGACTGTTGCCTTGGCTGCGACTCTTCCTCCTCTCCCTCAAGGTTATTCTCACAGTCCATTACAACGTTATGAAGGTGCAACCTGCAGACTCTCTGAGACAGGATTTGCAATAACTGTTTGCTTATATTTCAGAGATAAATAAGTTTGCTAAGTCTCTAGCAAGATTAACACAGTTTACATAGAGGCCTCCCCTCTAACGTTGTCCTCACAACAATCCTGTGAGATTGGCTGGGTTGAGAATTGAAGATGGTACCAAGATTGCCCACTGTGTTCTGTAGCGAAGAGAAACTCAGACTTTGAATTTCTCTGATCCTACTTCTCCACCTTAACTACTACACCACATTAGCTCATCTCAGCTCTACAGGGTCTAAGAGTCTTCTGTTTGGAAAGACCCATAGGAAGCTAGAAGTACTTGGTACATGCAGATAATGAAGCCTTCAGAATCCACCAGATGAGGGATTGCTTTGGAATCTGAAGTTAAAGTTATATTGAAATGACTCTTCATGATTGATAAAAGTATTACACGACTGACTTGCCTTTTTCTCTAAGAAACTCTGGAGCATTTCTTAGTTTGAACACTAGAGTTTTGCTAATTAAAATTAAAAGGATTAATTTAATTTAATTAAATGGTGGGTGCAGGGGGAGCGTACCCATAGACTTCTCAGCAATTCCAGTAAATATCAGCAAATGAGAGATGTCTGTGCATATGCACCATTTAATTTAATTAAATTGAATTAATCCATTTAATTTTAATTAGCAAGACTCTAGTGCTCAAACTAAGAAATACTTAACTTCAGATTATTGTTGTATGCAGCCCAGAGTCGCTTTGTGTGAGATGGGAGGCTATACAAATGTGATATATAAATAAATAAATAAATAAATAATTTTTTAAAAATACAATACCCATTTGGAGGTATTTGGATTCCAAATTTAAAGAAGCCGAAGGAAGTAACACCAGTAGGGCCAGGAACAGAAGCTGGGGAAAGTAACAGAGGGCGAATTTGCAGTGTGGGGCTGAATTGTCCAGACGTTGGTGGGAGTGATGGGTGGTCAAATGCTTGTCTTTTGACTTTGTCCTGAGATGCTTGGAGCAAAGCTGACCCAGTTATTTCAAGATGTGGAGCAGAAGTTGAAGTGGTTGTTCCCCTTTTTATCATTTAAGAGTGCCAGAGGAACTGGGCCAACCCCTGTTCCAAGCAGGGGATCAGCTTCTTTGTGTGTTAGTCTATCACAGTGTTTCTCAGCTTCAGCATCTTTAAGCTCTATGGACTTCAACTCCCAGAATTCCCCAGCCAGCATGGCTGGCTGGGGAATTCTAGGAGGTGAAGTCC